AAATATGGCCATGGTCAGTTGCCTGGATTAAACATGTCAGTCATTTCTAAATATGTGTACTATAGATATAAACTACTGAAATTTGGAAACAGACTTCTTGGCCCAGTTAATGCATGACAGCTGATCACAGTGGGTTCTGAATGAACTCATAAACTCTATTAGGGATCTAAGGTATTTAAGGGTGTCTTCATTATTCATTTTGTTGGAGTCCCCAAAATTTCAGGATGTGTTTTCACCTTTGAGGTTTCCAGCTCCTTGCTTCACAGGATAAAAGAGCAGTAGCTGCACCCCTGTCATGGCTCCGGGCTTCTTCTCTGTGTTCTATTACTTCCTAGCAAGGTATTTGAAGAAGATTTCACTGGAGGCTCTTTCTGTGTGTCTTCAGAATAAAAAGGCAATAGAGTGAACAGGAGTGAAGCAACATGTCATTTGAGGGCTAGATACTGCAGATGTTGAATTCTTTTTAAGTAACTAAAAATAGTTTAGAATACAGAGAGAATTCATCCAATTCCCAAAAGATTTAAGTGCCTGTCATACTTCAGAGCTAGCTCAGTTCGAACCTGAAGTTCCTGAGTGCCTTTGTCCCACCCACCTGTGTGACCTGGGACAGAAGAGGTGGTGGTTGGTTGGTTACTTTAACTCATTGGAATGTCTTGTAGCAGGTGAAGACAGCCTTGAAGTCCCTCAAGAAAGAGGAAGTATTTCACGTTTTGATCCTTGCATCGAGGTGTGTATCATGGCTAAGAGGAATAGCCATTCATTTTATTATTATAAGAAGACGGTCTAGTGAGTTTTGGTAGTTTGCATCAAGGTAGTGGGGATCCCTGTAAACAGTGCCTGAGTTTTTTTCTTTCCCTTTGCTCCACTTCCAGTCTTGTTATCCATCATAGCCCCATACCGACAATCCATACCCAGTCTGTTCTAAACATCATTAAAGCTTGGAAGGCGGAAGAGATTCTGGTTATTTCAAAACTGGTTTGCCTTTACTGATGAAGACATTTCAAGAGTCTGTTTTCCATACCAGACGAGCACACTGCCCAAAGGTTTGCAGACCAAAAACTTATCATAATGCTATGCAGGTGTTATTGTGGATGGAATAATTATGCCATTAAGGTTTGACTTGTGGTGTTTACACATATATTATACATATTTATGTCTCTGTAAAGCCATGCCATAGTATATATAATCTGTTCCTTTTCTGTATACACATGTATGTATGTGAAATCAAGTACATGGTTTCAGTTCCAGGATAAACAAGAAATACTTCAATTCTGTGTGGATTTAATGCTGCCCAAAGTCCTAGCTCACTTAGTTACCTAAGAAGGATGAAAACCGAGACTCAGAAAGATTAATGTCTGAATGTTCTTCAGATATCAAATATCATCTGATAACCTGTGCCTTTTGCAAGTGACTCTGACATCTAATTACATCTTCCATTTACTTCCTTCCCCAAGTAGAAAGAACTTATTATTCATTCACTTCAAAGTGATGTTCCCTTCATCCTTCCTTCTTCCTGCCCTGTCTTTCTTTTCTTTCTGACTTCTTTTATTTAAAAGCACAGGGTTAATTGCATAAAAGACATGGATTCATTAGTGAGGGACCAATATATTTGGTGGTGATGTCACACACAAAAACCCCAGCTTTTCCTTAATGCATTGTGGCATGGGGGAACAATGCTAACTTTGTAGTGAAAGAAAATGCAACAAAACCAAAATGTAAATAGCAGAGTGAATAACCTGATGATGTTACATGGTGCTTTTCCCAGCAGGATCAATATGGCTCACAAACTGGAATACTCTACTCAGGGGCATTTGTCCTGTGCATCTATGACGCAGGTATAATTTTGATGATTTTCAACATGCATGCAGAGGTAATTGTTTTAATAGTGTAGTTCATTATCTAGTATGTGGTGGAACCAGCTACAAAGGAAACAAATTGAGATGACTCCAGAGGAGAAAGGCTGGAATTTATTCTGCCAGAATTAACATGTGCACAGCATTAAACACACTCAGTATGTGCTGGGAAACCTGCTAGAGTGGCTGATGCGTTGTGGGTTGTCCTCTGCCTGTGTAAAGCCACCATCCTTTCCAATCTCCCCTCTGCTTTCCTTTGTTTCAGGTGGAACTGTGCAAAGGGGACACCTGCTATAATAGTATACCAGAGGCAGCAAGGACAACAAATAAATACAACAAGAAAAGTATCTTCTGGAAGTTACATATTATCCCAGTGATCTCTGCATTGACTGTGGTGTGTGTGTGTGTGTGTGTGTGTGTGTGTGTGTGTGTGTGTTCTCCCTTCCAGCCCTCTCACCCTCTTTTCACCTAAGTCATGGTTTTGCATTAACACTGAGCAGTATATTATTTCAGCTAATGTCTAAAGTTGTCGTCTGTGGGTGCTCATCTCCAAGGGAAAGTAATGTAGTTTTTCTTTCACATTTTTCTGTTTTCATTCTAAAAGCAAAGTTGCCTATCTCTTACACTTGGGGAGAAAACATCTTTAATGAATTGCAAAGAATATTAAGAGAAAATGAAACTTTGTCCCCTCCATAATCCATCCAGGGTTCTAGTTTTTTAAATTACTATTATGCTATTCTATATTTAGAAAGAATAACAACTTCTCTTCCTATCAGCAAACAGGGGTAACAATTTTTTTCCTTATTAACACATTGTTTCCTTCAAGAATGGAAATGGCTACAGCACAAATGGAATGAGTTTGAAGTATGGCTGAGTTTGAAGAGATCTGGCTTGGGAGTGGCTTTTCCACTGAGGGGCAGGCAGAATTCCCAGTCACCTACCCTATGTCCTTTGACTACAGCTCTCTGGGTGAGTCTTTGTTCCTGGAGCCTTATTTCTTTTACCTCATGAAGTTAGCATGTCTCCTTAAAGCCACTATTGCCACCATTTACATCCCTAAAAAGCACCATGTTTTCACAAATTAAAACACAGTATCTCCCCCACCCCCGCCCGTGTGTATATGTGTGTGTGTGTGTGTGTGTGTGTGTGTGTGTGTGTGTGTGTGTGTGTGTGTGTACACACACCAGTAAATAAATCTCCATTTGTAAGGGGCAGGGAGGATCTTTTTTAAAGAAAAGGAAAAAGAAACTGGAGAGTTTTGCAATTTTTGGTGTTTTTTTTCTTTTTGTATTTATGCAGACCATTTTTAGGGTTTTCAGTCTCAACGAAACACTAGTGAAACAAAGAATCTAGTAAAATATTTGTGCATGTACTGCTAAACAATTCTAGCAATTTTTATTAAGCAATACCTTTATTATTTTTTAATATTCTTAACAGACTGGAACAAAACATTTTATTCAAAACAAAATCTGCATACTGTACGCATGTCGCAGGGTTAAGCATGATGCAGAGGATAGAGTCTGAACGAAAACAAATGCCCGGGGGGTGGGGGTGGGTTTAATAGCTCTAAAGTTAACAACTAAATTTTGTTCACTAGGAGGACCTTGTCTGGATTTCCTTCCTCTCTCAGCCACACAGCAAACCTACCCGAAGTGCACTTCCCAAGTGTAGTTAGAGATTAGGAAGGAATGTGAAGTGTCTTTTAAAATTGTTTTGTTTGTTTGTTTTGTAAAAACAGCCCTTATTGACTTTTCCTTCCACTGGCCCTACTGTAAACCCATAAAAGCCTCTTTTAGAAAGCAAATTCATACACACTCAGCAGGTGAAATGTTCCCATAAAGGAAAAAAAATACAAACAGTGATTAGACTTATTTTTTTCTCAGCCGACTAGAGCTTGCTGGAGTGAGGACGCTTCGCACTGTAGTAAAAATGGCTGATCTGTTGATTGTTTTAAAAAGGAGTTTCCTCTGTGATATTGCAGAGCTGTATACCTGGAAGAAACTGGAACCCTATGCTGGGGCAATACTGGGATTAAATGGTACGTATTCTGTATACTAGAATCCCTTCCACCACGATAAGGGAGGAACAGAAGTCTGGACTGGTGTTCTTGGTCTCAGCTCCCATCACTTGGAGGCCAGTGCCCCGGTGTTCATGAGGGACTGCTTGCTGGCCTTGGGCTGTGGGCCGCTCCTGTCTGCCTGGCCAGGAAGAAAGAACTGGGGATGGGCACCAGAGCAACTCGGTTCACAGGAGCGTGTTTCACTCTTTTAATTGTGTTCCCCCCCACACACACATAAAACCTGTGAGCTGCCTGACTCTTCGAGCGCACTGTTGCTCATCCAGAGGAACCACTGGACCCTGGCTCCCTCGGCTCGGGCTTGTGCAGGGCACACACCCACCATGCGAGACACAGACAGAAGCAAGCGGATGTTGTCTGCTTGGGGACAGAAGGCGAGGGCCAGCAGGGCCTGCAGAGCGTGGCGTCCATGGGTTGGAAGGAGGCTTAGGGAATTTTTTTATTTTTATTTTTTTGTTTTCTTTTTTGTCTTTTTTTGTCTTTTTTTGTCTTTTTTTATTCTTTTTATTGTTGTTTTTTTTCTGTTTTTTTGTTTTTTGTTTTTGTTTTTTGTTTTTGTTTTTTTTGCTACACCGTGAGGTTATAGCGGTCATTCCTCTATTAGAAACTGACAAGACGTAGACAGTATCTGATGGACACACATGACTAGAAATAGATAGATAGACAGTGGAGAGACTTAAGTTCACCCACAAAGAAATCCTGCATCAACAAGTGCAGAAAAAGAAATAAACTAAACTAAACGGGAAATAAACCCCAAACCAAACCGAAAGCAAAACAAAACAAAACTCCAAACGTTAAAACACAGTAACACAGTGTATAAAATGGTGTGAGAAACTGAGTCACTTGCAGCCTCTTAGTCGGTAAAAAGCTGCGGCTGTGTCCGTGTTGGGAATCGGGCCCATCATGTTGAATGTTACCCGCAGGTCTTGCGGGAAGTCCGAGGGTAAAGCACCCGGGTGGGTTCAGTTCCCGGGCAGCAGCAGGTGCGCATCCCGGGTGGATCATCAATGCTCTGCGCTCAGGAGTGCGCACCTGCCCGGCCCTGCGCCGTGCGCACGCGCCCGCTGCGC